CATTTTCAATTATATAGTGCTCTGTGAACACAAATTAGTTAGCATAAATCAGTTAAATGACCACTCAGTGTATCCCTTAAATTTATTTATGATAAGGGAGCTCAACTAAATTATTTTCGTAATCTTACAGTTGTATTATCTTATCATTTTATCATCTCTTGATAGGATTATTTCATGCTTTTCTGAAGACCATCATAAAGCATTGACTAGGTAACACCTTCCAAGGTACTTTTATCACAATTTTTTTTACCAATGCTGACCACAAATGCTTGAAAAAACCTTCCGTGTGAAATATTCAGTGCTTTCGTATGTTTGATAAATTATCGAAAAAATAACAACACAGTTTGAAACAAAATAATAATATAGATAAGAAGAAACTAGTTTTCTAGCCTTTGTACTAATATTTTGTTTTGAAAGAGTGAAATTTTTCGTTAGCTTGAAACATTGATTACAGAATTGTTTGTTCTTGAGTACTAGCCTTTTATTATATTGAAAGTTCCGATATATTGTCTTTCATAGTATCTAGTGCTTTTATTGTAAGCTCGAACCTCACTTTTGGCAGTGATAGTAAAGGAGTCCCTGCCCTGAAAAAAACAGTGACAAGAACTTTAGGATATCTACAGCATCCTCCATAATGGTTAACTCCATCGCCAAAAACCTTTTGTTTAACTTTTTCAGTAGGCTACCACCTTTGGTTTTATCTTTGATGGAATTTGTAATGTCTATTTAATACTTTTCACTGAAAATTTACAAGCGCTGGGTAAAAAGTGTCTACAATGCGATCACTGAAGCACATGAAGATAACAGTCAGCGGATGTCGAAGAATTCGATCAATATTATGTAGGTGGACACAGAGGTCAAATGCCATAGTCTCAAGTTGCCTTAGAAAAAATGTCAATAGTTGAAAGTAAACGTCTGAAAAGCAAGATTAATGGATCACAATAAGATCGTTGTTAGTCTTTAGAAGAATAATTGTTATTACCTCCGCCATCGAAGGTAACAGAGGTTATGTTTTCACCTTTGTGTATGTGTTTGTCAGCAAGATTTCTCGAAAACGGCTGAGTGGATTTGGACGAAAGTTGGTATACATTTGTACTATTACCCAACTTCGAAGTGATTAGCTTTTGGAGGGTATAGGTTGAAGGTCAAGGTCACAGAATGGTCACGAAAATCCAAAAAATCCTTATTTGTTAACATGGGACCAATTTTCACACTATTTTTGCTCTACAACTCAGTAAAAAGAAAGATAAGATTTTAATGAAACTTGGTGGACATATATAGAATATTATTCCTCATTGTCCTGTTAAAAAATTGTCCGTTTCCGTTGATAACGACGGACATATGGAAACATTTTCGTATTTTTTGGGGTCCGAATATGATCAACGCTGCGTGGCGGAGGTATACTCTACTGAGTGCCCCTCTAGTTCTTTATACAGTCTTCGCATTGCTGTTTCTCCATCTGTTGCACAATCAACAAGGCACCCTCTATGTATATCTTCAGTTATGAACTACCGTTGAGACTAGGAAACAGTTTCTTTACAACATTAAAACCAGTTACAAGTTTTACATCTGCAAGGTCAAAAAAATACTTGCACGATATGCCATCGAACGTTATTCACATATATTCAGTGAGGGACAATTTATTTTAGGCTCTCACCAATCAGGATACTGAACAAATTCATATATTCAATTATATAATTTGAAAGTCCTCTGATGGATCAGTAGTAAGTCTATGGATTTCTCGCGGTAGACAGAGTGCACATAGCTTATTGTGTAGCTTTGCACTAACAAACAACAACAACAGAAATTTGTAAATTGGGTAGCCACTTGTTCTACAGCTAACTGCAACGCATTACAAAACGAGTGGTCAAGAAAGAACAATTGCGTTGAGATTGTTATTAT